TGTGTGTATATATATTGCAAAATCCTGTTAGAAATAAAATATATTAATAATTCATAATATATTATTCTATGATAAGTAATAATTAAAATTAATAACTCTAAGAAAAAAAGAAATTTAATAATAAAATAATTCTGTGTTTTCAGATAGTAATTATCACGCGCGGAATATATCAATATATTCCACACGATATATCATTTTCACATAACTCTCGGTAATCATTGTAAAGATCGATCGATCGATAACGAGACGTCGGTCTTCGGTTATACCGAGAATTATACCGACATAAAAAAGGAAGAGAAATCTGTAATCCAGGCAATATAGAGGACCGACTGGGATAATCTGAGATAGCACGAAGAGATTAGACACTCCGCGCCGCAAAGGCTGTCTCATTCTCGCCAGGATTATCAGAAATAAATCATATTTTCCTATATAGCAGGCGTACTGCACTCTCGAGATAAGACGGTCTGGTGTGATACATCGATATGCGTGTATACACAATGCAGGTAATATGTGTTTGTTAGCCAACGAGAGAATTGACGATATCAAACTGTTTGCTTATCCTGCGTAGTCCCGCGCGCATATTTCGCGCTATCGTCCCGTCATAAATCTATAAAACGGTAAGACCAACGTGATTTGCCATTAAAATCACCGACAAAAACCATTACGGTCTATCAACAAATCCAAAGAATCCAGAGAATCCAGAGGATCAGTTTTTAGGACCAAGAAGATTGCTTCGCGTTGAAAGTAGTTCGCGAGGTTTGAGTCGTAAGATTTCTATAAATCTTGAGGAGAGGAAACGGATAGATACGATATATATAAAAATACAACTTATAGAATTAAATTATCAAATTATCAGTATGTAAGTTAACGATTGAAGTACATAGATAAAGTAAAGATTAAATATAAGATTACACTGATTTAGATTTAATCACTTCTTTTGAATGGTTGCCTTCGCTCTCAAAAAAAATTAAGAATCCAATGTTATCAGGAGTATAAATATATATATATATATAGATTTTTTTTCAATCAATAAAAAACGACAATCTTTTAGCAAATAAATAGATATATCCGCGTTCAATAGATTCTTCTGAATCTATTGAATGGAGATGTTGAGTATCATCTCGGTGAATTCAAGCGGTAGAAGAAGAGCAGTCAAGCCTCCTTCTCGATGAGCTGCCTATCACCTGGCAATTATCGCTTAAATCGCTTAGCTCAACGCCTATAGCTCGATATTATTGCGTTTAGCCTGTTACCGCGATTAGTAGTGGGGTATTAGTACAGGCAGCCGTCTAATGCCAGTCATCCCCTCTCACCTGTTGAACAGACCGTTGTGCACGACAACGGCCCCTACGCACCTGCACGCGCGTGTGCGTGTTCGTGCGTGAGCTACGAACGCCTCGTATCCCATTTGCCACGGTAAACGCGCGCGATCCGCACGCGTGTGCGTGTGCCACGAGCTCAAGTGTCGACGCGAGCTGCAAGAGCCACCGCATAAACGCCGCGTTGCAGGGGTAATAGGCAGGTAATAGATAGGATGATGACAGGCGAGAGATGGGCAACAGGGTGACTGTCAGGGGGTGCTGCGTCAACAAACGGCATGCAGCTGGGATACAGATGTCAAAGGTTTGAGCGCCATATATTTCGGATTATCTAAAATATGGGGAACGTTTCTCCTCTTCTTTCTACACGGGAAACGTATCAATGGGCAATGAGTATTTTCGAATCTGAATCGGTTTGCGTGGGTGGCCCATCAGAATAATTGATAATACACTGGCTTTTTCAATCGCGATAATACGTTTGTACATCGCTATATATACGTAATGCAAGTGATGAAAAATAAATGTTTAATCATTTATCAAAGTTTGAAAAATTGTACTATCTTGTATTGTGTATATTTTTTATATTTTTGAGAAATTTATCATTTAGATTTATTTATTTAGAATGGACAAAGGTTGGTTTTTAATTTTTAACAATTATTATATAATAATTAAATTTATATTGTATTTATAAAAAATGTTTTCAGTATCATAATACTTTATCTATAACTCACAATTACTTATACGCACAGCATATTTTGTACTTTATATAATTTTTATTTCACATATCATTAATACGAAAATTGTTTGATTTTTTTTTACTATAACAATAATATAATTGCCGTAAAATAACTGCTATTATAATTTGTTTTATAATTTGCTTCGAAAAATAAAAAGCCTTACCTTCGTCAATAGGAATTTGTGGGTTCTCTTGAAGATTTTCGTTGTTGTTAGTTTCCGGCGGCAATGGTTGCTGATGCACGAGAGACGAGGCCGATTGTTTGGGCTTAACAACTCGAAATGCTGATGCTTCGGCAACCCCTCGTCTCGAAAAGTCTAACGGACCCACCCCTACAGGTGAGTGTTGCTGCTGCACTTCCATCATCCTGGACCTCGAGTCCGTTCACCGTTTTACAACTTTCGCGTCACTACACACGTCATTCGCATCTTTTTCTTCAACACGTTTGCAATTTTTAAGTTTTCTCAGCAATAAACAAACATACACAATCTTCTGTAACTTTTAATAAAACTATTTGGAAAATCTTTTCAAGACTGTCACCAAACCTGTCTTTAAGAGTCCTTCAGATCTTTGGAAACTAATGCATCTTCAGAAACGATAATTCTTCAACAATTATTGAGATTTATTTGATGATTCTTTAAGAAATATTTCTTCTTAATCAAAGCGATTGACTGTATAATAAATCCTTTTTTAGGACTATCTATTCGCAGACTTCATCCTTTCAAGAGATGTCAACATCGATCTCGTAGGATACTCGGCACAAGCACTAGAGATACTTTTGCCGTCACAGTCAAGACACTTGAAATCGTTTGCCAATCGTAATTCATCAACACCTGGCCAAATCCCCGTAGAATAGCTCTTGCCAATTTTGCGACAGTAAATACGTGTCGCACAAGAAATGAGTCTTTCGGTTATCAGCGACACTGATTTCCGTGCGGTCCATCGGCCGGACAGGCCAGGAACGGTGGAGCACCGGCTCAAGCCCGGGGATGTGAGAGACGTTAGCCGTTAGAGCGGGTGCCTCGACGCCGACTGCTGTTAACGGGTCTGATAGTGGAGGGACTTCCATGCGATGACGGCCGCAAAAGCGGTGGACGTGGAGAAGGAGAGAGACGGAGAGAGCCACACGAACGACGCACACACCGTCGGCGTTCATACAGAGAGGGAGAACACCCACACAGAAGTCTGATGCACACCAAGATTTTGGCCCGGGTCCCGCCTCCCGGGCACGCCTTCTCAGTTCCACTCCACCCA